CTGGTGTGTGTTTAGGGAGCATTACTTGAAACGCTTTGGATTGCGCTCTCACCCGTAGTCTTTCCTACCGTCCAAAACACAAAACTGAGATAACAGCTTTTTTTATATGGTCTACTTCGAATCTATACTCCCATCAAGAGGTTTATTCGATTTATGCCAGTATTAGACCCTTTATACCTGTTGCGCACGCTGTTGCTTCTTCTCACTTTGCCTTCCGTACACTAGGAGAAATAGGGCCAAATAACACGTGTTCAGACATGTACAAAGTTTACGGGTTGTGTTGTTTCCGTGTTTTTGTCATGCAGAACACTGATGAAATTCATATATGTGTGTTCGCAAAAAGTGTTCTTTAGTCCCTTTTTTTGCTAGTGGTAAAAGCGCAAAGGTGGGCAATGCCACACAAAAGGTGGGCAGTGCAAAGTACGCAACACTGACCTCCTTGCCGTCCGTAGGTAGTCGCGGGTAGGAATCCTTTGCCTCATGAAGTCCTTGGGACGCAGTATCGGAGTGCTAGGGTGTGCCGCCTTCCGGTGAGAGGACAGGTTGGATGCTTGACGTTGCGAGCAATAAATTTCCTACCCTAATGCAGAGATCATGGTGGCTACAATTATCCTTTCTGCAATTGCTGAATTCGTTTTTATATTCAGTATTCCCTCACCTCCCAGAGATCAAGGAGATCATTGCTAGGGCAACGTTGCCATTTAAATTAGGAGGCGTTGCCAACAGTCAAGTTATCGGGATGATTCTGGCTACCCACACTACACTAGTAGAAAAAAGCATGCTTTCGATGCCGTTTGGACACAAATTTATGCCATTACAGCCATTTTTTTTGCCAACTCAACCACTGTGGCATCATTTTGTGTCAAAATGGCATCGCAGTTGGCATCACAAACATGCCATTTTCTACCAGTGCTACCTCGAATCCTTCCCGCAATGGCTCTGTGAAACGATGAATATTTCGTGATCGAACCGTGGCTGCAATGATCATAAATTATTTACTTCATGACTGCAACCACACCTCGGAGTTATGACTGCAACCGTACTTCGGAGACCGAGCGTCACCGAAAATACGAAGCGGGTATGTACCTCCTTGACTCGTTATGCAAATACACTTGTTGAAGACGATGTCACAGCGACCCCAGCCCCTTGGATACTGTATCGCACAGATGCTCATGCAATATTGCAATATGCATAATTAATTATGCATATTAACAGCCCGTATTGGCCTTAAAATAATTAGCCTATCAACGATCTTAGAGCTCGATGTGGCAAAATTTCATCATCCCCACGCTCCTGCCACTGCGAGATGCGTCACTTTATAGTTTTATGGGCGTGACCTCCACGAGTTTTTATAAATGAGCATAAGTCATGTGAGTTTGGGCTGTGTTCGAATTACCAGTTTTGACCACTGATCTGGATCCGTCGATAACCTATGTTTAGTCCGATCACTGAAGACAAAATGTTCAAGAACATCATTTTGGTAGTGCAATCATTTAATGTGCTTAGACTATAGTCGCCTTTTCACGACGTTTCATTAGTGGTATATTGTTTAATCGTAGGGATTGGTGATTGAAATACACAATGTGCCGTCAAACCCAATGAGACAACTGACGAACTACGAGCCAGAGCGGAGGTGCCACAGTCTGACATCAATGCAATTGCAATTGTTATGTCGTGCAAGCAGCCGTTCACGCGCTGGATAAAGGATGCACACGTGGACCTGGTCGAGATGGCGGGTGACGGCTGCTCCACGAACAGGTCCACTTTACTATATTTGGGGCTGTGCGATGGCATCTTGGATTGACGATGCGCGATGGCGAACGTAGGACACATGGGTGATATGTGAGTTCGATTCACGATGCTGGTTGCGATTCTGGGGGGAACGCGAAATGTGGGGTACCCGAGGATTCAACAGATGCTCTACTTTATTAGGTTTTGTTTTCGTTGTAGCCAAGTTGGTGCTACTTCTTTGTGCTGCTCCTGTCTGCGCCTGACGGTTGCTGTTTGTTCTTTCTGTGGGTCTTCGTTGCTCGCAATCGAGTCTGGCCGAAGTACCTCACCTCGCCGAAAACTCTATTGTGTTGATTTTGATCTAAATCGCAAAACGGATCTTTCTGTGTTTTGGTTGTTGTTGTTGTAAATATTGAGATATTATCCCGCTCTCGCATGGCCAAAACCCTTTTTAGCTGATCTTGTGGCGAAATATGTGCTTCTACATCATGATGAGATTCCGCCCGTGGCCCAAAAATTGCCCTAAGATCTCAAAAATTTTGTCGGATCAATTAAAAATTTCCAAAGTTGTATGAAACTTATACATATAGAATGGATCTGAGGCATCTTTAAAGTGATATGGCAGCGGATATTAAACGGATCGAAGAAATATAAACGCCTTCAGTGATTGACAGTAATTATAAAATTTTTTTGAAGATTGCCGAAATCTTGGCGATATTTATGTGAGAAAATTAAAGGCGGGCTGGCGAAATCGTTGGGATGGTCTGCAAGTGTGTGGGGAAGAAAATTGCAAAACTTCAATGATTCAATTCATTCCGCTTCAACATGCTATTGAAATTTTGTCCACTTCAAACACGCTCTGCTTGTATTCAAAAATCCTGAGTCGATTGAGGTTGTGTATGGAATGTTCAAACTTCAAATAAAACAAAATAACAAAAGAAAATAAAATAAACGGCACAAATCGTGCGATTGTTTCACATTACCATTTTATATAAATGAACTCCAACCGGCTACCAAGAAGAATAATGGAAAACGCAATCCCCGCGAAGAAATCAGAAGATAGCGCGTGGAGCTGCGTATCTTACATCTAAATGCTGCAAGATGGAAATGAACCAGGTTACTGGCCAAATCGATTATTCAATGCCGCCCCGCTGTCAGCCGAAACTGGGTTGGCGGTGGTTAAACCCCCAAGGTGGTGGAGCGCCTCGCTCTCCACCGCTATCGTGGTGCTTCGATGCTGAAACGTGCACGAAGATGGCGAGTGGCCTGGTGGTGAACGCCGCGAAGGCGCTCCGAACGGCGTTTCTTGGTTGCGCTCGGAAAGTGCACGTTGGGCCACATTGTGTTAACATCCTTGTCAGCCAATGTTTGCCATTAGGAATTCACGGCCAGATATCTGGCGGATCGATCCGGCAGATCCTAGTCGGCCGGGGGTTGTTTCGGAGGGGTATCGCTTGGGCTACCTCGAAGGGCACGGGGTGCAACGGCCTGTTTAGGATGAGTGCAGAATGGTTGCGAGAGCCCAAGACTCGTTCAGTAGGGGAAACGTTTTTACGATCGCCTGTCTCCCATATACTGTATAAGTAAAAAAGTTCGCGCGGCGAAAATTTTCGCGGGAGAAAAAAGTTCGCGGCGGAAAAAAGTTCGCGCACTGACGAGTCCGCGAACTTTTTTCCGCGCGAACTTTTTTCCGCGCGAAATGCGCGAAATTTTTTCCGCGCGAACTTTTTTACTTATACAGTATACGGCACCGGCACTGTGTCCAGCAGCCTCCACATCATCCCATGCATTCTCACAAAAAACAGTGGAATGTCCTTTGAGGAGATGTCTTCAACGTGCAAATTCCAAACAAGTCTCTTACCCTACGAGGGGTGACGATCCGATGAGTCACGCGATTACAGCAACTGGCGTCAATTAGAGCATAAATTGTTCGTATCAGAGCGCCCGTTGGGCAACAAATGGCGGGATCTCGAGATGGCGAATGAAAACAAATGCGCTTTTTAGGACACACTGGCAATGCACAGCGGCAGGGTAGCCCAAATCAGGCTTGGTTTTTACGTTTGCATTTACGTTTTTACTTTTACGTTTTTGAGTGTAGAAACGTAAATTTGCAAAAGGGCCTATTCTTACGGCTATTTTTATGTTTTTACGGCTCCCTGGGACACCCAGGTTATACGATGAAAATTGCTTACAATGATCAGTCCTCCGCCAACTCCAGCACCCGCAACACAATGTCCACCTCGCCCTTGGCATTGGCGATGATGGCGCTTAACAAAAACTCGTTTTCTGCCCCTTCCAGGGTGCCTAGCTGCCACTTTACGGACTCCGTAAATCTGTGTGTATTGCCCTGATGTGCACCGGACAGTTTTTACGTTGTATTTACGTATTTTTACGCATTTTTACGCGTAAAAACGTAAAATTTATTTTTACGCGTACAAGAGTAAATACGATCAGTTTTTACAGCGTAAAAAATAAGCCTAGCCCGAACAACGTGCAGCTTGGGAACTCAAGAAGGCCAGGTCATCGCTACAGGTACGGACATAAACAGGCTTGAAAAACACAGCCCCTCCGCTCCAAACACGCCGGCTTTCACACCATTTTTTAGTGATTCAAGAATAGTGGAAGACTGCTTCTCATATGTGCGCATAGTTCTTGCTGTATGAATTGCCTAATGACCCGAACGTTGCTAAATCTGGCGGCTAGGCCTCCGGCATCCCACTGGAGCCTGGGGGCAACAAACATCTGTGACTTTTACTGATCGGAAAAACCCTTTTCTTGCGCTGCCAGTGAAAGCATAGCATACCCACCGGTCGCTTATTTTCCTGAATGTGCACATTTGCTTGCACTGGGATGCCACATTGTCATGTTGTGGGGGCGTGCGACAGGGACCAATCGCGCTGCTCGAAGCACCGAAATACATACACGGCATGGGGCCAAAGAACAACGCAGGCTGGCGCACACGCACAATGAACGTAGAACGTAATGCACAAACGCACGCACGAGCCCGGGCCATCTTTTTATTCCTTGAACGACCCCCCCGCCACACCGCGCGTGACGCGTGACGCCCTGTTCGCGCGAACGCCCCAGCAATCCCAAAGCGTGCCAGTGGCATGGACACGTTGCACCTTCCTCCACAACCTTACGCCCCGCACGCCGCCCAGCGCCGCGCTGCCCCGCCCTCCCGCCCACCCCGACCCCCCGCAGCCTGCAGCAAAACTTCTCCGGCCATCCCCCCAGCCGCCCCCCCGGCTCCCCGGCCCGCGGTCCAGATGGCGCCGATCTGGCGATTGCTGGCGGCAGTCCTCGTCGGCGCCGCCCTCTGCGCGGCTGGCCCCGCGCCGCTTGTGGAAGAATTCGGCGAAGGGTGGCAGGGTCGCTGGCGCCACTCCACGGACGACAAGTACATCGGCAGGTTCGAGGTCGAGGACGTCTTCGACGATCCTGCGCTCAAGGTGGGCCCCCACGCCGCGCCTGGGTTGGCTTGCCCGTTGTTGCGCCCGTGTTGTGCTCTCCTCTTGTTGCCCTGGAGACTCTGCGTCATCTTTGCGTAGTACGGGAAACGGTCTCACGCGTTTTTGCTTAGAATGGGGTGCTCTTTGTACGGCCTGTTTGGCATCTTGTTCTCAGCAAGTCTTGCCCGCGCCCTTGGGCGCGCCAACGGTGGAGATCTCCCTTCGCCGGGCGCGGGCGGCGTCGCTGTGAATCCACCCGCGCCGGGTGTGGACGCCGTGCCGCGTCCCCATGCCGTGCTGGTAGAACCAAAGCGTCCGCTTGCTGGAAATCATCCCCAGCTGGGTAGCATCCCTGAGGGGGGCGGTGACGTCCACCTGAACTGAGTAAAAAAATGGTGAGGAAGGAGATGGGCGTCCCGTGCCTTTGTGTGCGGCGTTGTGGCAGAGGGGCTCCGATACCTGCCCTCCGCGGGCTGTTGCGTCGATAAGCGGCCAGTCGGCGGGAAGGCGTTCGTGCAGAATGTCGCTCTTCGCGGCGTCGGCGACAGCCCGCAGGGTCGGCGCCTCGTGCTTCTGGCCGCCCGCCCCGCCGCCTAGCCGGCTGTCCGCCGATGCCAGGCCGGCGCGGTTTCGAGGGCGATCTCGCCGTTCGGGATGCCATCACATTCCCGCGTCAGGGTTGCCAGGCGTTGTTTCAATGCTGCGTGTCTTCCTCTCCGGGGCACGCGCGGGGAAGGCGGGCCGCGAGGCGGACGTCCGAGGCCCTGTTCCTGCCGTCAAGACCGCACTGAGCAATCATTGCCAGAGTAACAGAACTGGTCGTGCGGTCTGCCTCTTCTCCAGAGCAAGGTGTCCAGATCCCATTTCTGCACCAGCGTGGAAACTAGTGTCACAGCAACTGTCCGTCGCTTGCTCGCAAAGGTACCCGCCAAGGCCCAGCATTACGGCGCTGCCGAGACGCTGGAAGAGCCACTGGACCCGGCTAAAGGGCTTGTGGTCCAGTATGAGGCCAAGTGGTCGGAGGGACACACCTGCTCAGGCGGCTACCTCAAGCTCTTCACCCACTCAGCGGCCTTTGACGCCAATGGACTGGTGGAAAACACCCCGTACACTGTGATGTTTGGGCCTGACAAATGTGGACAGACCAACAAGGTAAACCTCGCTGTAACCTAACCGTGTAGGATCTTCAGAGTTTGGTTGCTTATCTGACATTGGTTATGTTATGGCCTGCAGTGTAGAAACGAAAACAATGACAGATGTCCATCCCTTGCTAGGAAATATCAAGTTTTGCTGTGTCTGCTCTCCACAAGTATATGAGGCTGTCTCATCATCATAGTTTAGCCGGGGCACACAACGCAACCACCAAGGGCGAGCATGTTTTGGTCAAGGGCACAATTCAGTACGTTGGCATGGGTGCATTTCTGTGCTGAGCTGTCCAGCAGCCTTGGTGCTGTTTATTCGCTGCTCGTTTGGTGGGTTACATGCTCACCATAGTGCAGCGTGTGCCACCATTCATGTCATTCAAACTCATAACCTCAGGGATGGGGTGTGTGTTGGCTCCTGTCACATAACTTGTGCCAACTTGTGTGTCTTTGTGAGATGAGAAGGTTCTGTGTTTCTTTCTTGAGGCTTCTCGTTGTTGTCCGCCATGCTCTGAAGGTGCACCTCATCGTTCGACACAACAACCCTATCAATGGCACAGCTGACGAGAAGCATCTGATGAGCCCTCCAAGGACTCCCGGCAACTCCCTCACTCATTTGTACACAGCCATCTTGAAGCCTGACAACACGTAAGTTCGTCACATACCATGCCAGTAGTTTGCACCTTACCGGCTGGACAAGCTGCTTTGTGGGAAGATTTTTATCCTGCAAGTGCTCAAGCTGCAGCCAAGCTGATGGGGCAAATGCAGCAGTTGCACACATCGCTAGCTTGCAGTTTGCTGAACCTCAATACACCATGTGTGTTTGCACTATTGGCATCAATTATATGAAGAGGTAATCAAGATAATGCCCACAGTGCACGCTGTAGCTACACCAAAAGTTCACACAACAACACTGACACGCTTGCCTGGCGCCCAGGTTTGCTGTCCTCATCGATGGTAAAGAAGAGGCCTCTGGTAGCCTTTTCGACAAGTTTGATCCCCCCTTCAACCCACCAAAGGAGATCGACGACCCTGAGGATAAGAAGCCAGAGGACTGGGTCGACAATGCCAAGTGGGTACTGCAGCAGATTGCATCGCGCTGGAGCATCAACCATAGCTGTGGGATGTGGCATGGCGTATTGACATGCTGCCATCATGCACCCATTCGAGGCTGTCCATTGCATCGTGGGGTGGGTGGGTTGTGTCCACATGAGCGCGAACAAAAAAAGCGCTGTTTGAGTTGTTGTGATGTGAGGAAACACAAATGTTTGGCAAGAGGGGAAGACAAGTGTTTGTGTCATGTTTTTTGATTTGGGGGTCGAGTATGGTGATGATAGGTGTGAATAGAAATGCCAACAGAGAAGTATCCCCAGTGCCTTGTGAAGCCACGTGGTGGATGGCAGGATTGCCGGGTTCGAACGACTTGTGCTTCCAAGGCTGCCAAGCACTGCAAACTGTCCTGTGGCTGCATGGCGTGGCTGCTGCAGTGGTGGCATGCACTGAATTTTTGCAGACTCCTAGGGATGCAGCTTGGTCACCCAGTGCAAGTGCAGTTTGCTGCGAACCCAGCCTGTTAAGGAGCCAGCGACGGGTTGCTTTGTCTATGGCAGCTCAGCATTTTCAAAGGGGACAATATGCCATTGTTTCCTTTGTATGAAAAGACTTCCATTAGGTTCCTATGCTGAATGGTCGGAAACACTACAGTGCGGTGTGGCTGCCCGGTTCATAACATCTTAGGTATCAATTGTTGAGGGGTGGGCTGTTTGCAGGATGCCTGACCCAGATGCCAAGAAGCCAGATGACTGGGTTGAAGAGGCCATGATAGTGGACGAGAATGCCACAAAGCCTGAGGGCTGGCTGGACGATGAACCTGATGTGATTGATGATCCAGGTGTGTGTGAGCCTTGTCTCGAGCTACCAATGAGACTGTTTCAATCCTGTGGTGATGTGTGCCAATGATTGGCAAAGAATTCTGCTCAAGCCTTCATGGCGATGGCAGCCAAGACTCATGAATCTGACACCATTGATGTACAGAATATGCTTGCCATCGACAGTTGAACCCCAGACACATAAGCACTGCAGAAACTATGCAACGGCTTTTTTATGGTGCCCATCATCGCCTGCAAAGTGCAGGGGCTGTACTTTGCCTTGTGAGCACACCTGCAGTCCTTGGAAATCCGCCTGCTGTTTTCCACACAATGTCTTGCGGTACGGATGGGAGTCTCGTGCACAATCGACATCGCCCCCCGACAGGTGCAAGAGTGTAACCTGTCATACTATGAGAAATGTGACCAAACTGGATTTCAGAGTGTGTCTTGTTGTGTTTTGCCAAGGCAGGGGCCATCCAAATTGCGGTTCGTCTTCTTTCTTGCATTCTTTGGCACAGCGTTGAGATCCTGTGGCCTTGCAGATGCTGAGGAACCTGAGGACTGGGACACTGAGGAAGATGGTGAATGGGAGCCACCCAAGATCCCAAACCCGTTGTGCAAGAGTGCGCCAGGCTGTGGCGAATGGAGCAAGCCAATGATCAAGAATCCTGAGTACAAGGGCGAATGGCGTGCACCAAAGATTGACAACCCAGACTACAAGGTGGGTTCCAGTGACAGACCCATTCGAACAGAGCTGCCCCATCGTGCACAACGACTTGTGGAGGTGCAATTTGCATTGCAACGTAGACTTGGCTGCCAAATCCAGCTTGCTGCTAGCCCAGAGGCCTTGAAACCGGTGTGCAGTGCATTGAATTGCCATTGTGTTGCTGTTTGTTCTGATGGCGAATTGCACATACGTGCACTCAGAGCTCTCTCATCCCGACCACATCCGCCCCACGGCCACTGCAGTGGGCAAGACGACAGTGCCAGAGACCTCGTATCTGACAGGGAGCCTTGGCTGCTGTGATGTTGTGAAATGGGTGGAGTGATGTGGGTCGTGTGGGTAGTTGCTATGTCCAGCGGATACAAGGATTTGCTGTATGTACTCTTCAACTTGTGGAGTTTGTGGTCTGCATTGTGTCTTGAACATGGCATGTGGCATCCAACAGGGCTCTTGACTCAGCTATCTGTTCTTTGCTTGCCTTGTGGCCCCAACTGGGATGCCATGTTAGTCCCAAACACCTGTATTTTAGTCTTTCGGCGTTGTGCTTTCCTATTGTCCACAGAATTGCCCTTACACACCAGTAATACATGGATGTACATCAGTATTACACACTACTGGGTAATGTGCTTGAAAGGTGTCACTGGTGCATGTGGGAACGTGCTGTTGTGACACCTAGCAGTTGATTTAGAATGATTGTTTTCCCTGGCATCCTGCTCATGACTATGTCACTCCGTTATTTCACTGACCTGCACACCTGACACTTGGAAACTGCCAATGGAAGCGAGGAGCTACAATGGGCGCGTAGATGCCTTTGCATTTGAGTATGTGAAGCTGTATCAGCAGTTGATTGCCCTCGCCCTTGCATTTGTCTTAGGGCCCCTGGTCGCCACGAAAAATTCCAAACCCACATTTCTACGAGGACGCAGAACCGCTGAAGAATATTGGGAAGATTGGAGCCGTCGGTGTGGAGATCTGGACCATGGACAGCGGCATATATTTCGACAACATCATCGTTGCCCAGGACGAAGAGCTCGTAACCACATACAAGGAGAAATGGTCGCAACGGCATGTGGCTGAGGTCAGTACCACCAAACCCGCATCGTTCTTTGCAACAGCTACATTGAAATCTCCTTGTGATATTTTTTTGGTAAATTCCCAATTACATCACATGGCACTTTTTGCGCACTTCCACTTAGTACTTTTGCTTGGTGACTGGGTTGGTCCCTGAAGGTTGGACTCTTTGCTAAATCCATTGGACACTAGCTTTTGACACTCGATGTGCGGAACAGTGAACAATTCCTGTGCTGTCCCAGGGCTCCCCCTATAGCTCCCGTCTTGTGTGAGGAAAAGGGGGATTTTAGCCCTGCCTGCATGTGTAATTGACATTTGACATCACATGGCAGTGTCCAGTCTTTGTGATTGTTGCTTCGGAAAGTGTATGTAGTGTGATGCACAGTGTGTTGTGGTATGCCACAGCAACAGGACATGACTGAGCAGTAAAAGAGTGGCCATGTAGTGAAACGAACGGCGTGTTTCCTTTTGTTGCAGGAGGCGGAGCAGGAGGCCAGGCGGAAAAAGGACACATCCAGGAAGGAAGGGGCCGCTGGATTCTTGCAGGATCTGGCAGACAGGCCAGAGCTGGAAGCCATAAGGCCTTACCTCCTGCCGATTGTGGATGTCGCAGAGAACAACACGCTCATCTTCTATGGCGTGGGCCTGTTCGCCCTGTTTTTCACATTGTTCGGAGTAATCTCCTGTTGCAGGAGATCCAGCAAGGTCAGTGGCTGGCGTGCGCAGCCTTGTCCCTTCTTCCTCACAAGGGCTCCTTTCTTCCTCTGCCCTCTTCGTATCTTTTTCCTCATTGTGTTTTGTGATTCAAAATCGACGTCTGGGCCAAGTGTGATCCTGAACGGGCGTCATATCTGTGGAATGCAGCACAGTCAGGTGTCGTGCTGGTCCCGGTGAGATCCCGGTGTTCCACATGATGCTGTGAATTCCCTGTGCTGCGTTTTTCCACCCACGACAAAACATGGCACTTGCACCTTACAAGCGATGACGGGCACCGTTCCACAGATGCAGGCTGCTGGAAGCATGGCGATCAGGACACTCATCCTGCTCTTGCACAATAGTGTGGCTTTGCTGGTGCCTGCATTGCTCCAAATATTAGTCATTTTGGCAAACGACTCCAGTTCGAGTTCCTCAGCACCTGCCATGGATCGTATTGTAGTGTCTCAGTCCTATGTCTTTGGGGTTGTTACCGAGCGCATTGAAGCAGATGGTGTGGTGAGCACAAGGGATCGCCATCACTAACCTGCAGTGATAATGGCTGTCGCCCGGATCTGCCCAAGATTGCTTTGAGACCGACAACACTGCCCCGGGCGCGTGTGGGAAACTTGTCCTCTCATACTCAAAGCGCGCATTCCTTTGCAGAGTTTGGAGAAAGGCCACGCCGCTGTTGCGAACTCATCGGGCGCTGCCCTAACTGCTGAAAATATTTCAAACAGGTGGGCGCTGCTGCGGGTGAGGCCCACAAGAAAGACATCACTGGCCCCGATGATGACGTTGCCGACGGCGACGATGAGGATGAGGATGGCAAAGTCGAGACGGAGCCGGAGGCCAAGGGCGACGACGACGATGATGAAGACGACGAGGGGGATGAAAAGGTGAGGAAAAGGAGAGGCACGAGGAGGGCAGACTAGGACAAGGGTTGGGGCCATGCGACCAGGAGCTACTCTGATGGAGGCATATGGCGTGGCGCAGCTGCCCAGCAACAGCTTGTGAGAATGATTACATGGCGTTGAGACGTGGCGTTTGGGATGTGGGGCTGGTCCCTGGCCACTGGATGAGTGCTGGAGCTGGGAGCAAGCGTGCTGTTGGCTGGAACACCCCACGGACACCAAGTCGAGTTAGGCAGGGGGGAATTCCGTGTGTAGAATAGGGTCGGTGAGCACTGAGGTTGGTGTCCAGGCGTGTCCTGAATGAAGCTAACATGATGCGGCAGGCAAGTGACAATAGTCTGGGACCTTGACTCGGCTTGTGGGCTTGGTGTTCCGCTGACCCGCGCAGAGGGGGCAAGCGCGTTGCAGCGTCGGGAATGCGGAGGCATGTTCTTGTGGGCACAGTTCATACCTCTTGTGCCAGGGCGCACATGTTGGCTCGTTGTCGGTTGGCACCAAGAGCCAACATGGGTAGGCCAGCTGTAGCAAATGCAGTGATAACAGCAGTGACCATGATGGCAGCAGTGTTTGCAGCAGCACATCCCTTCACCAGTGCTGCCCATCCAGCTCACCGTCCTTTCTGCAGCCGCGCCACCCATCCTACTCCACTTTCACGCGAATTTGAAGCAGTGCCAGTACCAATGCCAACAGAAGCAGCACGTCACCTGCGCAATTGCTTCTGTGAGCAGCAGGGGCTCTGTTGCAGCGCTAATCCTGGATCTGTGGGCCAAATCTGTGGGGAACAGCCAACATAGTCCATCAAGGCATGACAAGCCCTGATAGGCCTAACGGGCCAAAAAGGGTTTGCGGTGTTCGCAAGCGGCAATCGGCTGCTGCCCAATGCACTCATGCCTCACCACCCTACCGGCGCCATCGTGAATACAGCGAGGATAAAAATGGCACTGCCAGGTAACAATATGATGTTCTAGCAATTTGTGATATCATGAAATTTAAATGAAATCACTCAGGCTGGCACACCGTTGCGTCACTGCGTCAAAATTTGTCACTGAATGCAGCATGCAAGTGCCGCGGCCATGTTCATGCGTTTTATAGCCGTTCCGTTCACATCCAGCATGAGAATAGGGCCCGCCGCTAGCCATCAGAACAGACCACATGTTGTGAACCAGTCCTTACTCCCAGAAGCAAGGAAGTCGGCGCAGCTGGGATATTTGGGCTCCCAGGCCTCTCCCAACAGCCTCCGCGTCTTCCTATTGTCCAACGCCTTGCTGGTGGCCGCGCCGCCAGTGCCGACGAACTCCACGTTAGAAGAGCAGGCCCCGCCAGAGGCATAGGCGTCCATCATGCCCTGAAGAAACGGGCATGTGGCCAAACAGTTGGCGCAGTGGGCAAAAGGGACCCAAAGCAACACACAAACGTCCATTTGGAGTTGGCGCATTCCTTGGGCCCGAGTCACCAGTCGGGTGTCTGACAAAACAGATTGCCAAGGCGGACATTCCCAAAGTGACGAGCAGCCCCAGGAACGGGTGGCCTTAATCATCTTGCATCAGCACTGCATTCGTCGGCGTGATAAGGGAAATTCCAACCTGTGTTGCCACCAGGTTTCGGGGGGGGGGCCCACCGAGAGTGGGGTCACACAGACCGGAGTCGTGTGACATGTGGCATGGAGCCCACCCAGAGGCTCATGGGGTCCACCAGAGCGCCAAGGCCATCCTTGGCCAGGTTTCGCGGATTCCATGGGCACACGCATTCGTGGGTGCCAAGTGGTCTGCCACATTGCCGTAAATAGCCCGATCGTGGAGAACAGTAGGCACATGTGTCGACAACATTGAAAAGCAGGGATGGCTCAGCCTCAGTCAGCAACCAGGGACACGCACCTGCAACGTTACAGGATTGCCATCGGTCGCAAGGAAAACTTCTCCCCTGTAGCCTTTGCCCCCGTCGCTGCCCGCCCCAAGGAGCACCTGCACCACCACATGTAGGAGGGTTAATATTTGGCCCGCCATCGGTGCAACGACACCCCACGAATGGTGGTCTGTTGGCGACCCCTATAGTCATGCTCAACGTTTCACAACGCGGATCACTTTTTTCCCATGGCTGGCGACTGGTCACTAGTTCAAGCACGTCACTCGTGTGAGATTGTCGGTGCAAGCCACCACAATGAAATTACAAACGAAAGCAAACCCTGTCATGAAATTCTAGAATTATATCCTTCATAGAATCATGGAATCGTTTGACCTAATGTGTTTTCTGAGCAGTGTTTTTGGTCGCTTCCACTTTTGTTTGGTACAACATGAGTTTCTATGGTTTGTGTCCAGCACGAGGGACTTAAGCTTGGAAAAGGAAGAATGCTGTGCAGAGAGATATGCCTTGGTTAGGGTGTCTTGTCCAAGTTTCGCACACTCCAAGTTGTGGCACGGCGCTCCAAGCTTCGGACACAGTGGCATTCTCAACAACTATGGTGAGGGCATTAAATGCTCCTCAGTGTCAAAATACCACGCAGTCCGATAAGAAGCAACAGCAATGGCAGTAAACAGGCAACTGGCATTCAAACACACCTGCAGCGTCAATGCGGCAGCATCTTCATAGTGGATGAGGTTGACAGCATAGTCACCAGGTCTCTTGACTGTCCCCATTTTTGCAAACGCAGTGTGGGGACCGCGGTCGGCATGGTACAGGCCAGCCAGCCGAACAACGTTGCCGCCACCCTAGCAAGGGCAGCTGACCTCAGTGAAGGCGACAGCTGGAGCCAGAAGTCAATAAACCCTTCTCACTTCAGTAACCCAACCCATCCCCTCGCTGTCAATGCCCCAATTGACAAGCAATACGCTTTGTGTTGAATTGCTGCAGACAATGCACTTGAATGCATAGAAGCCCTTCTGAGCTATGAGCCTATTTTAGGACAACCAAAGTGTGGAACTGAGGGGACATGCAATGAAAAGTATATAGATTGAGATCAGGCTCAAAAGACATGCAATGTCAGTACCAAGATTCGCAAAACATGCAAATGGAACGACACCAGTTCTAATCTAGCACCTGTTAACACCATGCTGGGCATCTGATCTCTGTATGGGTACATCCACTTCAGTCACAAATGGAAAGACGGACTGCACACCTGGTCAAGGGTCTGGCACTCAAAACCAGCTGCTTCAGGTCAATGCGAATACATACTTTTTTGGCTATTGAGCCCAGCAAACACCCAGAAACACTGAGATGACTGTCGGCAGGCTGTTGTGAGTTCGACGCAACCATGGCACCATGGCATGCCCCAGCCCAAAGCTTACCTCCAGCACGGCATGCTCAGCAAGCAGCATTCGATCCACCCGTTCACTGTCACCCATGGGAAGAAGAGGTGACCCTTCATCACACTGTTCCCCAGGGCCGTAGACACCAATGCTGGATGTGTACACAAAGGAGCCCCTCCCATCCCATAACGACAGCGCCTTCTTGAGCTCTTCTGTCGCGTTTTCAACTTTGCTGATTGGGGCACAGAAAACCACCCAAGGAAATGCCCCATCGGCTTCTTCATTTGTGCGGGGTATGATTCCGACAGTTCGCAGCCTGCGAAAGCACAGCTCCAAACGACTACATCAACCAGTATATGACAAATCGCTGTCCTTGTTGCTATCAGTCACCGCTGGCCACTACTTGCTTGCATAAGTGTCTGATTCAAAGCACTTTTCTGCCTGCTGCCACACAAACAGAGCTTACTGCTATTAGTGCATGTAGCAGTACCCTCGCAGCTCACCATTGCAACTGATATCGTAAACACCATGCTTGCAAGGATGTCTCAGCGCCTTCAGAGATTCCCACACTCCCAGATCCCTTTAGGGCAGTCCAACATTTCGTGTATATCCAGGCTTTCTTCTATTGTGTGTCAAGCTGCCAGAAGCCATTCACTTCAGTATGTTAAGACAGTCCCAAGCAACATGGCTGCATCGGTTTCCAACGTTTGAGGAATTAGCTTGTGACAGTGTCAACGACTCAAAACAAGTCTGTGCACTGGTTTTACTCGTTCATGCCAAGCACTCCGCGTAGCTTGACCCCACTGCTCGAACAAGAACCCAGGGGACACAGTGCCCCACACTGCTCCAAAGGGGGTGTTCTTTATGCCCCACTAAAGAGCATGAAATTTGGCTTTCAAGATGGTGATGCTGTCCAGCACCCCCGGTCTGGCCCGTTTTGTGTTCATGTGCGGCGGAATTCGAACACCACCCCAGCATCGACTTGATCAGCCGGATGCAGATAAGCACCGCCTCGGGCCGAACCGAACGGGCAAGGCTTTTCCGCCGAACAAACTTACCCATCAACGTGCAACAAACACGCAACACGCGCCGTTCTTGTATCCCAAGAGCAATCCATTCACACACCCACAGATGCCCCGGTGCTTCCTCACGTTCCACCGCCTCAATCAACCAAACGCCGCCAATCACACACTCAAACCACATCCTCGACGCGACCAGACCATTCCCCCCTCCCCCACGCCCCCGGACCGACCTCTCGTGGCTTTCCTCTGTCCGCGACTGCCCCACGACTCCGGCGTCCTCCCCGCCCTGGTGCCCCATCTCCAGCCACAGCTTCCCCAGGTACGTCCCCAGCACCCCGGGGCCGATCACCAGCAGCGGGCCGCGTGGCTCGCCGGCGACCACCATGTCCGGATCCATGCCCGCCATGGCGCGCACGGCCGTCGCCGAGGGCCCAATCCCAGCCCCTTGACTTGGTCGACGGCAAGGTCCAATTGATGATCGGAGGCCTGAGGGGGCCAGGCGGGGAGTGGGGCGACTTGCAGGGATGTGCGCCGGCCTGCGCGACGGGTAGGGGGGGCCTGGGATGGGGGCGGCGGCGGTCATGGCGCCGCGCCCGGCGCTACGCGGGAGCGCCTGCGCACGTTGGCGGGCTCCACAGGGGAGTCCGTTGCCGATCGCAATCTGTCATTACTCATGGATAGCGGAAAAGGAAGCTGGCGGGTGCCTCCCCTCATTGTTCTGCAAATGCTCATTGTGATAATGATTATGTTGGCGACGAAGAAGTGATCAAGTGATAATGTGATATATGGTGTTTTATGGTGCAAACAAGATATGGGAACGCGGTGCCAAATTATGGAGAAATGCACAAGGGGACAATGAGACGACATGGACGTGTTGCAGTGTGTGGTACTTGACTGGACGACTCAGCCTGTAGTGCATCCGGTGACGGCTTTGCTTCCCGTGCCTGGGAGCGACCGTGTGGAGAGCCTCTGCTTTCGTCATATTGATGATGACTCATGGATGGCGAGATCAGGCGAGGATGCGTGCAAACGGCGATAATGGTAATTTTTGTAGGGTGGTGCCGTAAATTCCAGTTGCTCGTAGTTTATCGCAAGTTGATCAACTTTTTGGCTCATGGATTACGAATGACAGTTGATCCAGCATCACCATCCACCATCAGTAGGTCGCCTGCTGAGTTGCACAGAACCCAGCCAGGCAGCCACCAGCGGGCGTTTTTTCACGGCGTTCAAGAGATACTTTTACACGTTGTCCAATATGCCCAGCCGCGGTCGGTGGATTCTGCAACAAAACGCACAACGCGGCCACATCCACCCACATCCATCCCTACCCCCAGAACCCCTCCCCCTCGTCTCCAAGCTGCCCACAACCCACCCCTCCCTCCGTCCGTGCGCCCACCGTCACAAGGCAAACGGCAAAACGCACGTCCACCTCTTGCGCCGGCCAGCGGAGCGAGGATTTGCAGCGAAGACTTCCCGCATTCAATGTCACGACATCCACACACAAAGACCGGCCGGTGCCAAAAACGGGCAAAGAAGGCACTCCCCAGCAGCAAGGCCGAAACAGCCAACGTCACACCGTCACCCTCCTTCCCTCCCTAGATCCGCCCAAAACCCCACTCCCCCTGGTTGTGTGTCGCCTGACCCATCCCCCATCCTCCACCCCAACGGACACCCGCAAAAGTCCGGCCCTAGGCAAACAGCGCGGCGGCGCTGGCGAAGGCCCCCCCGGCCGAGGGCGCCAGCGCATTGCTCCTTGGCGTCTTTGCCCACGTCCTCTCCGCCTCCACACGCCGCCTCACCGACTCCTTGAGCGTCCGCCCGCCGGCGTCGTCCACGTCGAACCACCCCCGCGCCGTGGATTCGCTCAGCCGGTCGTACCTCCCGTCCGGGTGGCCGCTCTGCAGGGATCTCAGGGCGCTTCGGACGGACCCACGCCCGTCCAGGGCCGCCTGGATCGGGCCCCAGAGATCCGGTTCCAGCCAGTTGATGTACTTCCTGGGCCGCGCACCGTCCAGGCCGCCCACCACCTGTGATGAGCGGTTGGGATCGGAGTCGGGCACCGGGGGAGGAATGGGCGCCGACGGCCCCGGCGAATCATCCGGGTTGTCGGCGAGGGCGCGCTTCTCTCGCTGGCGCTTCCTGAACCGGCGCATCCGCTCCCGCGCCTGGCTGCGCTTCCTCTCTAGCCCGGCGACGTCCGGCTGGCGGCCAGGGGCCCGGGCGGGCGGGGAGGGCGGTGGCGGCGGCTGGCGGGATGCGGCATCCCCGCGCGGATCGAGCGAGGGATCGGCGCGGGCCGCGGAGACATCCCCCGTCGCAACGCCGCCGCCTGCCCGCGTCATCTTCTCAGAGCCGGGTCCAGTCGACATGACCTCCTTCCCCGCCGGGCCCCGCCCCATCCGCGCGTCGCACGCCTCGCGCTGCCGCTGCCGGAGCCTGCTCATCGGCTCGTACGCCCCGCCGCCGCCCGCCTGATCCCTCCCCCTCTCCTGGACCCCGCAATGGCCACCCACCCCCCGCCCCTCCCCCTCCTCCCTCATCCCAATTCCCCGCGTTTCCGCCTCGACCGGAGCCAAACCCCTGCCGGCCATCGCCGGAATCCGATCGCCTCCACAGCAGCCGCGGCCCTCCCTCTGCCGCTGTCTAAATCTCCGCATCCTCTCCCTCGCCTGCGCCCTCCTCTTCTCAGTCCTCCCTGAGCAATCATCCTCCTCGCCACCCCGCCCTGCCCCATTCTCCAACCAGCTCTCCACGGACGCACTCCGCACCCCCTCCCGGCCCCCCGATGCCCCAGATCCATTCCGCAAAGCCCCAAACGACGGATCAGTAACACCGCTGTCGGCCTGCCCACCGAAGGGCCCGCCATGAAGGCCGGCCAGCAGGCACAGCTGGTGCAGCCGGCCCTCGCGCGCCTTGGCCGCCCTCTGCCGCGCCCGGTAGCGCCGCACGCGCTCCCTGGTCTTGGCGCGCCGCTCCTCCGCCCTGGCGCCCCCCGCTTCCCCACCCAGCGTCACGCCCGCCGTAACACCCTCCATGGGCCCCTCGTTACGGCGCCGACGTTACCCCGCGGCCCCAAACCAGCTCCCCCAGCGCGCGTGAATTGCGTGACGCGGGTGGGCTGGCGGTTGAGGAGGGTGCTGGGCTGGAAGGGGGCCGGCCGGCGGCTGCGGTGGCCAGCGCAGGTGGTGCCGAGGCGGCCCTTACCGGCGAGGGAAGGCTGGAGGGAGGGAGGCTTTCGCGTTACCGGTGGAGCGTTGTTGACGGGCAGCTGAATCCAGACGTTGCGGCAAATGCGCGGACATTGTGCATAATCGCATGATTGTCCGCCGCGGTCCAAGGCGGCTGGCACGCAAATGTTGGGTTGGGAAGGCGTGCTGCAACGGAGCGGCTAAACAACGAGAAACAAACCCAAGATGAAAGCAAATGGGTGCCAGGCCGGGGCTGTCACGATGGCGGTGAAGCAGTGCAAATGGACTTCAGTTTGTCACATGCTCAGAACATAATGAGAGTCATGGCATGAAGTATTCTTGCAATTCTATGCTTAATTGATATTACGTGCACAACGAATGACTCTTGAATCGTTGCTCCATCGCAATGCGTGCACTCTGCAAACCTAGCAGACCATCACAGTGGCAATTAAGCGAAAAAGGGGGAACAAAAGTGCAGCGCCCTCTCTTCAAAAGTGGTAGACACAGCGTTGCGAGAATCACGTTACGTCAGCAAAGGTTGTGCAGGAGAAAACGTCCGCTCATGGCCATGCACTGCGTGCGCACACTCCTGCAGCACCGCCACGAAGATATGTGCCTCATGGAAGGTGCAAAAAACGGATTGGCCGCAATCACCACGGGGACGGAGCTTTAACAACGTTTTTGCCAGGATATATCGCGCCAGGCTCTGTGCATCTAAATGTACACTCCAGGCCTGTTCCACCCAATACACTGTTGACAGGAGGTCGTACCTAAAATGAAATATCTTAAATAATCGTACAATCGCTCGGTCCTAAACTGCTCCCTCATTCAACCCGCCATTCAGCCGAACTTGATGGCCTCCAATCTGAACTGCATTCAGGTCATGCTCGTGGCACCCTCCAACGTCCATCTCACAGCAGAGCCCTATGGCGTCCACCACCGCCAACAGACCATATGATGTGTCGCGGAGTTATGAAACTATTGACTTCACAGCCGCGTACTCACGCTTACATTGACAGATTCTGCTGTGTCTAGATTGACGACCCTATGCACCACTCCGTTTCTGTATGGCCTGGTTGTACCATCCAAGTTTTCCCGACCCTAACAATTTGCTCCAGAGTTCTCTTTGCTGATTGTGAAAGCCACATCACATAAGATAGCGCGATACCAAAAAGCGGGTGCAAGGCCCTGAACGGTACCCATGTTCCTCGGTCCGTTCAGCAGAGCCGTACGAGCCAGGAACGTCAATTAGAAAGCCGAAATTGAACAGATAGACATGCCGAACAGCAGCACAATGGTCATGAGCGCGAGGGGAAAAATACAAATACCCACCATCGAAATAGTGTAACCTCTGACAAGAACTCACGATCTTCTTTTTCTGGGGATGTACGAGAGCGCGCTTTTCGTGGCCAGTTGAGAGACGACGCAAATGGTGTGCCGAAAGAAACACAATCTCAGAAACCTACCACCCACACTTTAGCACAGATGTCCTTGGGATCTTGCGCGACCACAGCAGACTCGCCATGAATGGGAACCGATAAGGACCATTCAACAGGAGCAGAACAGCTGCCAAAACCACGTGCATGCAACACACGCGACTCGGGGACGTTCTGGGCTCCCAACTACTCTCCAAACTTGCCCGACCGACCAGACTCCTCCCCCCCCCCACACACACACACCGCCCACCCACCCCCCCACACACCCACACCCACCCACCCACACACACACACACAGGATTATTTGTACGCTGTGGCTTCTGTGGATTCGACAAAACTTGAAACACAAACCCCACATAGTTGAATCTTGCAACAATGCCCCCACTAGTTCCGGCCGGACTCTGTTGGGCCTGCGATGGTGAGCGTCGTCAGGGAGCTCAGAACCGTCCGAAGTGAGTCCTGACTGACTCGCTCGCAGCTCTTCACGCTAAGATGCCGCAGGGCTGTCAAGCCCGAGAGGATCCTCATGTCGTCATTGGTGATCCTACACAAGTCCAACGTCAGCTTGGTGATGGCAGTGAGGCCCCCCAGGTGCTGCAGGCCGTATTTAGTGACTTTGGCGCAGCCGCTCAAGTCCAATGTGGTCAGGGCTCTCAGCGGGCCCAGGCCCTTCATGCCGTCGTCTGTGACTTCCCAACACCAACGCAGGTCCAGGTCCTTGAGACCTGTCAGACTCGACAGGCACCTTATGCCGTTTGTGATCTCCGGGCACTCGCTCAAGTTCAGCTTGGTGAGCGTTGTCAGGGACCCCAGCACAGTCACACCCTCATTCGTTATGCACCTGGACAAGCAGTGGAAAATAATCGGATCTGGCAAGTGGGAAGTCCATTCAGAACTGTCGAATCAGCTTCCATCAACTGATCCCAACCATGGTCAATAACCTCAGTAAAGGTATTCCAGACATGCCACAGACAATGGCAAGTGTCCCACTGAGAGCGGCAAGCAGTCAATTGTTAATGCTGATGGAGCCACGCACAACCATGCCATTTTTGTCTTCTCTACTGCAGCAATTGCGAAAGGGGGCAGCTACGATTCAGGGACACATAAAATTCGAAGCATATTTTGCAGATGTGGCAACTGCCCAACATCGCCTAAAGGGCTCATGGGGCATAGGTTGTCACAGTTTGAGCAATGTGAATGCAGCTTTGCACATGTGCACACTAGTACAGTGGATCCGTTGAGGGGATGGGCATGTAGTTTGTATACGGTTTGAGCGTCTATCAGCTTGCACTTGAAGCACCATGATCACTGGTGTTGGTGCTATTTGCCAGTGGATTGGCAACAACACCAGGACAAACGAATATCGCAGCACCACCAAAGCAATACCTCCGCAGGTTGAGGTCCTTAAGAGCCAGAAAGGTGTTCACGAAGCTGGCGTGACGCATCGCTGTGCCCTCAAGGTTGAGCTGCCACAGTGAAGTGAGCACCCCCAGACACGTCATGCCTTCATCAACGATGGGCATGCAGTGGCGCAAGCCCAGCGCCTCCAGGTTGGTCAGAGCCGACAGGGCGCTCACACCAGTGGGTGTGATGTTGCTGCACAGGCCGTCCAGCCAGAGGCCCCTGAGGCCCGTCAGGCAGGCCAGGGCCGTCAGGTGAGCGTCCGTGATCAGACGCACGTTCATCGAGTCCACGTCGAGGTGCGTCAACCTGGGGATCCTCTCCAGCAGTGAGATCTCTTGACAGGTGACTGGAGGGTGCAGCTCCAAGGTATCCACCGAAGGGAATTTCTGTCTAATCGAATCTATCATTCCCTGCCGGGGCAATTGCCCAGACAAAGTCAGGCACTTGACGGCTCCAGAGGCACATCGCTCCCAGTGGCTATTGACAAGGCGCAAAGACTTCAGGCTGGGAGGGTTCCTGTCTAGCTCGCCCTTCAGCCGGGACAACTGCGAGCCCTGGTGGTCCCTGCTCAATGCTGCCCCGATCTCATCCAGCAGGTCCAAACACAGCTCACCCCATCTTGACACAATAGGGATTTCCTGCAACAGACACATGCGCTCATCATTATGGTGCGTTTGTGCAGGGGAGCATTTGTCCATGGTGACTGCAAGCGTTGCTGTATTTCAAAGCAACAAAGGTATTGCGCCCTTCGATTTTGAAGGGTCACTTGAGCAGAGTCTTGAGTCATTTGTTGACACACCTCCATGAGTCGAAACACGTGTGATGAACATCTCCAGTTCTTCAAACAGGTCATATTCTGTGTTTACCCTTTTATATAAAGGACCCAGGAGTCCTGAGAGTTGATAACGGATCAACATATCACTTGATTGGGGGTGTGCTTGAGCATGCAAGTACTCGCGCTTGTGCAATTGCTCCAGCCACGTATTCATGCAAGTCAACCATTCCCACAGACACATATATGTTTGTGATCCTCCTTGTCATTTCTGCTGTCATTGATACCACTGGTCGCTCCTACACCACTACATAGCAGAAGAAATTCTTGATGGGAGGCTTTTGATCCCAGTGGGCGTCTTAATCCCATGGGTAATGCAGGTCCTGCATGACCAGTGTCAAGAGGTTCAGAACAGTGACACATTTATGGCAATATGTGTTTCATGACAGAGAACAATGACAGATACCAAATGCTAAGACACATCCTGTAACTTTCTACCTCTGTGTTATGCTTGCCTGCCCTTGCAAGTGAGAATAGGGCATAGTCGTCACAGCCCGGCGTCTAGTTTTCAAAACATATTAAAAGCAGTGGTACAGTGTCCAACTCATTCTTAAAACGAGGAAGTGCTCCGTCGCATATCCAGTACTATGCTGTTCGAAAAACCACGTTGTTGGAGCACCGACCTTGTCAAAAACCCAGTACACGAACACAACATCCAGTTAGCTCCAAGGCTACTTTGACGTTTCGAAGCGCCCTCAAGCCCTATTCCCCCCATGGCTTGCGATCAAGTCAGCGGCTGTGCCCCTTCCCCAGAATCAACTGCAGACCGGCGCTTCGGCAGAGCGCCAAAAAGGCCTCGAGACGACCTCATTACGAGGTAGTCGCCCAAGCAGAACCATTCTCCGTCTCGTTGACAACAACTCACAGTGGCGCGCGACCTTACCTTCTCCATGGGGCCGCCCGGAGAGCGCCTGGTGCCAAAAACAAGCGCTTCGAATCCGGGCTACATCCCGCGCCGGCCGTCTGCCGCCCAGAAGCCTTCACATCAGCACGGGCACCCCTGCGCAAGCACCCCAGCCCGCCCTCAAGCCCTCATCCGTACAGCCTCACTTCCATCAGAACATCTTGCAAATCCCTTCCCCCAGTTCTCCAATGCCCTTCCACCCATTAAGCGCGTCCGCCCGCGGTGATGCGCGCGCGAACGGCAGCAGGGGAGCCATCACGCTCCCGTACCGTGGTGGCCTCTGGTGCTCGAGTCCCGCTGCGACACGGACACTGAGCCATCAAGGCCTGACGCATCACAGCCATATCACATGGCCAACGAGGGATCGGCGAGTGGTGCACCATCGATCGGCTTGGGAACGGGAAGATTGAAACGTGACAGTCTGCGGACAGGCGGAGGCAAGCCCCCGGCAGTCCTCCCTTACCTGCGTCGGCGCCCGGCCCAGGCCAGTGATGATCTTCGTATCAGGGCTTCTGCCCCCCAGCGTTCCAGCCGTAGGGCTCTGCCAACCAATGGAGGCAGCCGATTGCGCTCCTGTGGTGAGTGCGCGGCCATTAGAACGAGTCGTGAAAACAGAAAACACGCACGGAGGACCATCGCCAGCAATCTCCAGAATTCAGGCCAGCGAGGCGCGCAGAGGCAGGCTGTCCAAGTAGGGCCTAACATCAGCCATTCGGTCCGGCGCGGTGGAGAGACGCGGACGATTCTGGCCCCCGCTCCCCTGCTGCGACGCAGCAGTGTTACGGAACTCACCTCAAGGATCGTCGCCCGGGGCCCTTCCTTTCGGGGCGCCGTTCCCCGGCGCGAGCCGCACCCGGCGCTGGGCACCGGGCGTCCGCTGGCGCCGCCGTGGCTGCCGCAGCCTGATCCTTCGCACAGCTCCGCCCCCAAAGGGAAGTGGGGCTCGAAGGTGCATCGCCAACTTCTTGCGTTGTGCCAGCTGCGGGGTGGCCCGAGCGTGTGTTGCTCGAGATCGATCAGTCAACACCCCAGGGCCACGGGGGATGGGCGCCATGGCGGGCGGGGGGGGGGCCCTGACTCAGCGCAGAAGGTGGCGACTGCAGCGGCGGGGGCAAATGCCGGTGACGTTCGCACTGAATTCAGTGATGGGCTCGAACCCATCACACCGCCGTGCTGGGGCAGGGCGAGCGTAAGGATTAATATCCCCTGACGTGGACGAAGCGTTCGGCTGTGCTGGATCTCGAAGCAGGTGCTGCATCTTCCGGGTGGATAGTAACCCGCGGTGGGTAGAAAGAACCCGCGGGTGTACCTTCCAGGCAAGGCGGAAGCCGCCGGGCCATTTTGGATAAGGGGGCGCCCATGGCCCGCGCGTGGTGGTGCTCGTGTCAGTGAGATCGCGGTGGCTCCATCACGTCTTGGCAAACGCGATAGAATTGCCTAAATCGTCTGATTGCAGCGGGAGACGGACGCCGCCCACCTATGGCAAAACGTCGAGCGTGCGCGATGACCAACCTCATCCACAGTCCGATGTTGCGTGCTGCGGTCCTGGCTACGGATGGGTCATTTCGCACAGTCTCTGTTGGTATTTGGGGATGCGAATCGGCACCCTTTCTGTCCCAGTCTGTGGATTGATTCCATGAAGACTGAGAACATGCCCCGTTGATTAATGCTCATCCGGCTGCATCTCGATCCGACCAGGTTCCATTATCCCCGAACTGACTGAATGGGGACTGGAGTTTTGACCAGCGACATCATTGATCAGGATATCCTCAGGAAGAACCAGTTAGGTAACCAACTCCAACATCACATCTCCGAGCAAAACACTTCTGTGTGAAAAGGCAGTTGCCATCGCTCAACAATGGATGCAAGGGTGCTGATTTGGCAAACTTCAATAAGCACATCTGAACCGAATCTCGAGTGTTTGTTCAAATTGGTCGCCAACAGCTGGCCACATGTCAATGATGCACCATGTCCACAGCGGCTTAAAGGCTGGTGGCCACATCCGGAGGCCACACCACTGCAGTGCATCACAAGAGTGGATGCCAATGAAATCGGATGTAGACACCAGATCAACCCAGCAGCCAGCATGGCCAACCGACATTCTGATCGCGCCCATATGGTATGGGCATGCTTTCTGGGCCAACGTTATTTTCAGAACGTCTGAGGAGCAGCCCACAGAGGCAGATTTTATGGCTAGCAGTGCAAATTTTGAGGGGCAGAAAGCTTTGGCAGCTGAACTTTGTGCACCGTCTGCTGAACGAATGTTGCGTGTGCAAGAATATCTATTGCAACGATACTCGAAACTTTAGGTGCATGATCTAAGCCTATCTGAGTCTACAGTAGTACTGTACTTCCATGTACCACATGAGATGGATGGATGTCTGTTCCTTGTCCTGCGTACCTGGCCCTGACCTGGTCCAGTAGGCAGCCTAAGCGTGGGTTTTACGGTCCAGGGCTTTGCAACAGAGGTTGGTCTTTGAAAACAGTCAAACTTGCATGAATGGTTGAGAAGCTGAGCACAACAATGCATGCAGGTCTTTTGAGGAACAAGCGTATTTCAGGCGATGCAGGGGGGTCTTTGCAGCCCCAGAAGGGTGTGTCCTTTGTGAACTGAAGCTAGCCCTGGGATGTCGGCAGTTGGGTTGCAGAAATTCTCTTCCTGCACTTGCAACAACCTGGCGCTCACCTGGTTGGGCCTCTGCGTACCGTCCATGTCCCTGCGCAGGTGCATCTGAGGGGCTCATACCCACTCACGAGACAGCTCGTCGACATCTCAGCGCAGCACTCCAGGCAGTCGCAGTGTGCCCTGAATGCAGGGAGGACACTTCAGCGCTTCCAGCCGACCATCTTTCCTTGTAGCTTGCCGCACACAGAGACTACAGTTCATCTTTTCCAGTACGGCGCAGAACCTCAAGGCCCCAGCGACCAGCACGTGTTGCGCATCGTGGGGTGCCCATCGTGCGGCAACGTTGCTCGACACTCCCCGAGTTGAAGCTCCACGAGACGACCGTGGAGTTCAATCACCACTCCCATTCTCATTCACACCACCCATTCCCCTTTCCCCAACTCCCAGCGCCTCTCAGCTCCACTTCCACCTACGTTGACCCTATATCCCCCCCCGCGGAACAAAAACGCTGCCAGGTGTGACCCAACTCCACCCCACTACCAGCGTCGCCCGTTGTGCGCCAGACGCGCCCGCGTCCTCAGGAAGCTGCGATCCAACCCTTGGATCCGCCCACGCGGGTGGCCTTTAAAACCAAAGCCCGGCTGCGAGCCGCCGTACCCAGCCGTTGCCAACGGCCTGCTGTCGGTGCGGTGGCGACATCTCACCTAGACACAACGTTGGGCCTGGTCACACCGAACCCCTGGCCGGCGTTTGGAAATGGCGATTTCTGCGGCTTGAATCTGGTTGGAAAGTCCACGCGGCCTCGAAAGAAAATTGTCAGGAAAACTGCGAAGGAAGGCGTCGCTGCCGTGGACACCCCCGCCACTGCCTCCACAGGAGTCCCGGCTGCAGCTGGCGTCGGGACTGACCCGCTGGCCCGTTGACTGCCCGGACGCCGGCTGCGCGTCCGTCCGTCTGAGTGCCCACAATCGAGGGCGCATGAACGCGATCTGCGCGCCTCCCTCCTTGTCGCTCGTGCTGGCTTCCAAGCGCGGGGACCGGAAGGTTTCGCAGATTGGCGGACTCGGGAGTCCTCGCAAGAGACTGCCGGTGGGCAGCTCGGGGGCCTCTGGCATTTGGATTGCACGATGAACGAACAGGTGAGCGGATGTCGTCAATCGCGAGTTCACCGAGTTGGCAGCGATGTCGTGGCCGGGTGGTGGCGCCGTCGCTGGCAGCCGTCGCCGCCTCACCGGGGGCCTTCCGACGTCGAAGGGTTCGAGGCCGCGGCGATCTTTCCGCTGGCGATTCCGGTGGATGCAGAGGGGGCAGATGGGACTCCTACGTTTCATGTATTGGCGTTTCCATGGACCTGTCCTCGAAGCGGCAGAGCGCTGGCGGGTCCCAACTCCCCCAGGAAACTGTAGGGGTCAAAGGAACGCGACCTTTGCCGCCGACGGCCTCCTCGCAGATTGTTTTCAGCATTGCTTTCTATCTGCGAGGTTCATGGCCGCAGTCCCTCCCCCCGGCCCCCCTCCCCCTTGCCTTTGTCCCACTGCGCCCCCCAGTGAAGTCGCCCCCGCTGCGCCGCAGGGCCTGGACACCCTGCTCGTCGTCATCCGCCAGTACAAGGCCGTTCACGATCTGGTCAAGCACAACAAGGCCGCCCTGGAGCTGCTACGCGAGAGTGTGGACCTCCTGGAGTCCTGTCTGATGGGCGCGGCGCGCGGGCGGCTGCCGATCGGCGCCGAGTGTCTCGAGGGCCTCGAGCCGATCCTGTGGGAGTGCGTGGAACTGGTGCGGCGCCACACGCGCGCGGACGGCGGCTCCCTGATGAACCGGATGCGGGAGTACCTGAGGGCGGCGCTGGGCTCGGCCACCGTGGCGGGGGAGGTGGAGGGTTTATTGAAACGTCTGCACAGGCACTCGCACCATCTGCGCGGCGCGCTTGGGCTTGAGAATCTCGCCCAGATGAGCGAGATGCCCACTCGGCTGCCAGAGGCGATGGTGCAGAAGGACGAGCGGCACAAGCAGTTCTTCTTCCAGCAGGAGTTGGCCCAGGCGGGGGGGGCCCAATCGGCGGGGATGGAGGGGATGGTGGCCGGCGCGTCCGCGGCGAGGGCGGGGTGGGCGGTGCGAGGGGAGGAGATCGAGTGGGACGCCTGCGAGGCGCGGCGGCAGAAAGTAGGGGAGGGGGGCATGGGGGCGCTCTACAAAGCCAGATGGAAGGAGCAGGACGTGGCCGTGCGAGTGCTGCCAGAGGGGGACGTGATGGAGGAGCCGGAGGTGGCCGCCGAGTTCTTCGGCGACGTGGATTTTTTCACGAAGTTGTCGCACAAGAACGTGGCGCGGCTGCACGGCGTGCGCGCCAGCCAGCCCTACCTGATGGTCATGGAGCTGGCGGCCTGCGGCAACCTGCACTCGCTGCACCACGGCGACCACGCGCCGTGCCTGTCATGGCTTGCGCGGGCGGAGATGCTGATGGACGGCGCGCGGGGGCTGGCGCACCTCCACTCCCTCCGCCTCTCCCATAAAAACCTCAAATCAGAGGACATGCTGGTCTTCCCGGACAGGGCCTCGATCAGCGGCTACGCTATCAAGGTCTCAGACTTCGGCATGGCCACCACGAAGACCAAGACGCGCCAACTGACCCGATTCGCCGGCGCCGCGAACGGCGGCCAGCCGCTGCCACCCCCCGAGTACTGCGAGGGCTTCACCCACGGGCTGAAGTCCGACATCTTTTCGTTCGGCGTTGTTATGTACGAGCTGGCGGGCAGGCGGCCGCCCACATCCACCAGGTACCTGGGCCCCCTGAGTGCGCGTTCTCTCTCCCCTTTTGTTGCCTGTGTCGCGTGCTCGCCATCTCGCACGGGAGACTCTGCACCATCTTCCCGGAGCGTGGAAAAGGGTCTCGCGAGCACTTGCGCGGAAGGGACTGCCCTTTGCACAACCTGTTTCACTTTCCCCTTGTGGCAAGCCTTGCCCCTGAGTGCCCCCCGGTGTGCGCGCTGTCTAGCCTCGTGCGTTTCCACTGTCGTGTGCTCCTCATTTCGCGCTGGGGACGCTGCAAATCACCTCCCTACGGCATGGAAAAGAGTCTCGCGTGCACTTGCTCAGGAGGGTGCGCCCCTTGCGTGACCTGCTTCTCTTTGCGACAAACGTTAGCAGGTACCGCCGGCGCAGCGTGGACGTGGACGACGCCCTGTCGCTGGAGAGGTACTTCCGGGTGCCGCCGGAGTGCCCCGGGCGGCTGAGGGCGCTCATGGCGAGGTGCTGCGTGACCAACCCCTACGACCGGCCGGGCATGGGGGAGGTGGCGCGGGAGCTGGAGGGGTTGGTGGGGAGCCTAGCCACCAAGGCCGTCGAGGACTGAGGGAACGCCTGGGAAGCTGCCGGAGGAGGGCCAGGCTGGCGTTCTTGCCCCCATATGTGGGGGATTATATAATGGGGATGATACAATCCCCCCGATCTGGTGCTCCAAAGTGTGCCAAAATTGTGAACATTCTGGGACCCCGAAAAGGAGAATTTTCTTTTTATTTTTATGGTCCCCACTCGGCCAGCCGCGCAGGGTTCGAATCCCTTTGATGACAATTGTCAAATTACGTGTCAAGTCACTGCCCTTGTGCGTTGAAGGCGAAGTCGGCCGCAGGGAGGTGAGCGGAATGTGTTGGACTTTGGATGTGGACGGATAGCTCGTAACGAACGCCTCCCCGACGTCGTCAATAAGAGCATTGCTGGAGAGGCCAGTTGTCGAATTGTTAGAAATTTGGATTTGGTCTGCTGGCGACCTGCCCAGAAGGTGCTGTCGTGTGCAAAAGCGAATGCATGCGATCCTGCACATGAAAAGCAGGGGGCGCATAAGGTTCTCAAATGCAACTGTGCTTCTTAGATCGAACATAGTTATTTAGCTATTTTGCAAACTGTCTCGCTAATCGTCATTCATGTGCTTCGCTCATGTATTCACCAATATATAGCTAGTCTTGCAGCAGTGTCAAGAGTGGCTTCAGTGCTAGCTTCGTGTGTTAAATCCCCGATAGTAAATATTGTAGGCCGTTGTACTTCTTCCGTCCAAGATTAATTGTCGACTATTTGAATGAGAATTTTCGTGATGAAAATCGCGTCTGAATTAGAAAAGGAGGCCAGAGTCGGAAAGATTGGGTCTCAAAACCCTTAGGTCACAACTTTCAAGAAAAAAAAGTCAACCATCACCCCTGTGAGTGGCCTCGGAAAAATGCCCTGAGTTGGTCTCAGAAAAACCGTTAAGGTTTTGTGTTCCCAGAGACCCCCTCAATTCTGGGCCGCTCCCGTGCTTGCGAGTAGCAACAACAGTTGTGGCCACTGCCATCGCGAAGGGGGGCATCTAGCACATGGCGCAGCTCCTGTCAAACCAACTCAGCGGTGCTTGGATCCTTCTCAAGGGTGGCCATTGTAACGGCAACGAAGATGCTGGAAATCCGCAGTGTTCTCGATCTCCGATTCGCAGACCTTAAGTTCCAGGACTTTGAAGACTGCATTGAGTGCGGCCTATCACTCCAAAGCTGCTTTGTAGCTTTGCTTGGACACTCCGCCTTGATCAATGCTTGAACCGATGCTCCCATGTGCAACCCAACCCAAAACACACAAATGGCCCTTGGCGGCCCACGCTTGTGCCCGGTACCCAATCCATCACTGCCTACTGAGTCTTGACTGCTGTAAAAGATACGACTTTAAGCCTCTAGCCGTTCTCCAAGCTCCCAGTCCTTTCAAGTGCCGAAACAAGGTCAACTGGCAGTTACCACCAGAATGGCCAATTCGCTACTTATCCACAATTGATTAGAGTGATGACCATTACCCTGTCTTGCCCCTTGTCGAGAAGATTGGGAGACCTCCCACGGCTGCCCTGGTGGTGGCGATGGAGAACGCGCAGTCCTGGCTCAGATTTCTGGGCCCGGCACATGACTCTTACCCACTGGTTCGAGCTTGAAATTCCAGCCATAGGCCACGGCGAGTTTGAAGTTCAGCAGCTTCGAAACGTGTTTTCTATTGCTGTACCTCTATGCAAGCACCGCGGTGACCTTCTCTGTAGATGGCGTGGATAGTTCTTGCGGCGGTGTGTCGCGGCCGCAAAAGTGTGCTCCCCAAAAGAGTGGAAAACGGCCGTTTTCGTTGCCGCGCCAATAACCGGCCGTTTTCCGGCTAGAGGACCCTTGCTACAAAGTACCATCAAATCCTCAATATTTAGCGGATTGATCTGAAGTCTCGATAATATACTCCAACCTCACAAACACACGTTTGGGTGAAAGTTCATTGAAAGTGATGCCGTTACATGCAGAATTAACGCCCCAAAATCATAGACGACAATTCATCCTGGACGGAGGAAGTAGGGTTTTCCATCGCTGCACACGATAATTATTTATTCCCGTAAGTGGTGGGAAGTTACCCCCAATATGGAATACAGTGCTTCCATTCAGAAATTGTATACTCCCTTGTCTTCCAAGGTCCAACGCCATGGAATCTCCTGAGAAACTGGCCATGCGGGTGTTAATTACCACAAATAATCTCATCCAGTGAGCATCGACCCGAAATGCAAAGTAGGACGTCGCAAATTGCTTCAGGTCTGGCTTTGGCAGCACCTCCATGGCTCCGTTGGCTTGAATACCCACCTGTTTATGCTTGTGGCTGTAACTGGTGCGCTGTGAACAGGCTTAGGAATATGACATGCAGCTTCTATTGCGCACATGTTCGTCCTTCTGAAGTACATGACGGAGGCTGTTATTTTTTTGGGAGGGGGGCGGGGGGCAAAGAAGTGGAAATCTTGATATTTGCCGTGCCGGAATCTTCAAGTTGCAAGTGCTTCAAGTGCACACTTGCATATCACACACTACCACCATTATGAAAACTGGCAATAAATAGAGCAATAGTTTTTGCACGGACATGGTGCAATTCTGTTTATAACCATGCTTGATAGAATTGATCCAGTCTTTGCTTTTCTCTGTCCGGGTATCACTTGCCTGGGCTTCGATCATTGTGCAGGCCTCGTTGCTACAATAATCATCACAAATTTGACATGCCTCTTATGAGTTTGGAAGCTAAGCAACGTCGCAATGTCAGCATCCTGTGGGGAGTAAATTGAGTGGGACGGTTAGTGGTTCCACGACATGCAAATTTCGTGATTATATATAGAAAGTCATCATTGCGTGGATGTCCGCACTAATGGCGCCCTCTGAAACTCCTGCCTCCCAACGATCGATATCACGTCACCGCCATGCGTAATTTTAATGCTTGATGGGTTCAACAGCAAACACAGCACACAGGCGTGCAGAACGTGCGTGATGCGTGGGACACATGTCTTCAATGTATGGCACAAGACATGCACGGTAACCTGGAGCTAGGCCTGGCATTAGGCCAGTGCGTGAATGTGGGTAGGGTGGTATGGAACATCCATATCACGTTTCCTTTATTCATGAAATCCCATGTCAATAGTATTGCCATGGGTATTGCAACTTATGCAAGTAATGCTAGAGCCGCAGGCATCTGCGCTGCTGGGCATCAGCACCTGACTGGATCAGCGCACAGTGGTGACTGCGGCCAACTTCACTCAGCACATCTATTGCATGTAGCTTGGATGCATGCCTTACTGGTCTGCTAGCGTTGCCAGTTGCTCAAAGATTGTGAAGAAGCAATGCTTGAGGGTCCACCTGGCCTTACATTACTTCTTCCAGACAATGGGCGACTGTTTTACCGAAGCGAGTCATGCTGAAGTCAAGATCAGTGGCTGTAGGATTGCCCACTCAGACGCTTTGTCACCTCTGAACCTCATCACCTTCGGGAAGCGGATAAAGCAGCGTCAATCACGCACGTCCATGCAACAGCAATGGGAAATTTCCTCAATGTCAACCTCGTGCTCGATAGCTAGGGCTCGGTATTTCTTCGTAAATATTTTGGGGACTGTCCCATGGACTGTCCCACATGGCCATAGTCCACGTGTTCATTCAGACAACACAAAGCAGCCAGACATTCGAAGGGAGCTCTAGAATCTGCTCATCACAAGAAATCAAATGAATATAGCTTCAGCTCAAATAATATGCGATACGTATGTCGCAGATCGCTAATAAAGCACAATTACTGTTTTGTGCACCACATTATGCTGTCGTCACTGCAAATGAAGCGAAAGTGGCGACATTTTTGCCAAGTATTGTGAGATGCCTGCCCAGCTAGCAGTGTTGACGCTTTCCTACGATATGGGCTCCATAGACGCACGTGCAAATACAACCGTTCCGTTTCCACCTCGCCCTAATGGGTACGTTAAATCGCTCATGGGCAAGAGCCTTCATCCCACTTCGTCGTGCTCGCAACAACGCAAGGATGTCTCTAAAACCGCAGCTTTCCACCCGTCTTTGCCGTCGATCTTGAGTACGAATGCACCCGTTTATCATTGGCACGCATGAATTTGCTGGCTGTGGTTACCGGGTTCGGCCCAATAGCGTTGGAACTGCCACTGACAGTACCGTTGTTATCTGCACCAACGCGGAGGAAAATGTAATGGCTAAATTCGCCAGTTGCTGCGCAAGGAAGTGACTCCAGATTCCTGACAAAACTTCACATTGGCACCAGAAGGCCGCGATGCAATAGTGGCGGCTTATCCTGAAACCCTAGAGTTTTAAGGACACGAATGAGGGCCTCCATCAAAGGTGCCTATTGCGGAATCGACTGAGCGAGTGTCACCTATCAGTGAATCGTGACTTCTGCAACTACTAAAATGACAGCCAAAGGAAGGGGGAGGTGAAGGATACGCCCCTGATGGGGCGCACTCGCCTCGCCTCACTGACATTCTTTGCTGTCATTCTGTCACAGAACTGACAAGTACTTCTATCAGGTTACATTTGTCAAAAAAGTTGTTGTAGTAATAGACTCAGCGTTGTGCACTTTGAAGAGCACCATTGCGCCTTTTTTGCTCTGAATTCTTTGACAGATTGTTCTGTACTTTCTATGGCAAACTCCCCATCGTGTTCAGCGGACGCAGGTTGGGCAGAAGTTCTGCCACAGAACAACCTGCTGCGCGTGTGACTTGGGACCCACAAAAGGGAGGAGACCCTGAGGGAGCGTTGAGGAAGGCGATAAGGAATGGGTATATATGACGCTAAGCAGCTGGAGCACGCAGGCGGAAGCGGTTGCGTGCAGATGCAAAGCGAATCTGGCCACATTTGCTGCGCAATTGGATGGCCATCCGAGGAAAAGGCCAGCAGCTTCCCGGTTCAAGCAGAAACAGTAGCTATCTCGCTGTGTGCCGCGCTGAGCAATGACGGTCAGTCAGAAAAGTGATCGGTAGTGGAAAAAATATTGGTTATTGGCTTGCTTGCATAGTTGCATTTACTTGCGGGCAGAACAAGTCAA